GCAGCAAGCACCGCGCCTGCCACGCAAATCACACCGGCAGAGCTGCGGCGACCCAGCGACCTCAGCGCCCAGCACCGCGCACACCGGCTGGTGGCAATTGGTGTGTGGCAATTGATGATTGGTTGATGACAATTGGTTGGTGGTAGCGATTGGTTGATGACAATCGGTTGATGACCACTGGTTGGTGACAATTGGTTGGTAGCAATTGTTTGATGACAATCGGTTGACAACATTTGGTTGGTGACAATCGGTTGATGACAATCGGTTGGTAGCAATTGGTGGGTGGCAGTTGGTTGGTCGCAATTTTTTGATGACAACTTGTTGGTGACAATCGGTTGATGACAATTGGTTGATGACAATCGGTTGATTCAATTGGTTGGTGACAATCGGTTGATGACAACTGGTTGGTGACAACTAGTTGGCGGCAATTGGTTGGTAGCATCTGGTGGATGGAAATTGGTTGGTGACAACTGGTGGGTGACAATTAGATGGTGACGATTGGTTGGCGGAAATTTGTTGGTGACAATTAGCGGGTGGCGCTTGGTTGGTAACAATTGCTTGACGACAGCCGGTTGATGACAATTGGTTGGTGGCAAGTAGTTGGTGACAATTTGTTGGTGGCAGTTGGTCGGGAGGAGGCGGGAGGAGAAGGAGGAAGGAGGGAGGAGCGGATACCACGCTAAAAAACACACCCGTCAATGTGGGGAAAAAGGATCTTTTCTTCATTTACTCATCAACTTCACGCTGCGTTCATCTCCTAGCTCTTGATCAAGCACATTGTATAATCTTTGGTACAAAATCACTCTATTTATCGAACCTCTTGAAAATGAACAGCTTCAAGGGGATCGAAGAATAGATCCAACAATGCTTGCAAAGTACAGGTACTGTAAAACATAATTACAATATACCAACATGATTCACTTAATCAAAAGAAATACCTTTTTCCTGGTTGATGTCCAAGTTCTGACGTACCTGGCAACGTCCGGAGTGTCACCGACCTGCGTGGAAGTAGCCCTTACCTCGCCTCACCCCCCTTCATGAAGGGGGCTTTCCATACAAATTTGCTTCTTGCGCTTGCCTAGGCTTCGGCTCTAGTCCTTCATCTCAACCTCCGTGCAAGTGCACGCTTGTCTCTTCTCCTGGCTCTTGATCTTGCAGTGGAGCTGTATGCGCTGGCAGTCCTTCGCTGTCCTGACGATCTTGAGCCTTGAATTCACGTTCACTGGCGCTCGCTCATCCTCCTCTTGAGTGCCGTTCTCAACTGTGCAAGCTTCATCGAAGGCTCTCCGGCTCTCCTGTCACATGTGCCTCAGTTTCTCAGGCGGCCCCCCGCCGCCTTTGCGCTCGTCTTGCCCTTGTTCTTCTTCTTGTCCGGGACTACGTGGGCAGTCGATGGTCTTTTGAGGCTGACGGCGCCGCTCGTATACATGGGTAAAGGCCTTGTCACGCTTGGCATTGCTGCACTTGTTTGGACCCCTTGACGATGCATAGCTAATGTTGACTCCAGCCTTACTCTTGAAATCGCATTCTTTCCGCTGCAGATCAAAGGTTGAAGTCGATCTCTTCTTGGGTTGCGGGTTCATCCAGCCAGTCTCATCTGTCCTGGTGGCTCAGGTTGGGCTGGAACTGCTCTTGGTCAATTCGCTGTGTGCAGCATGGCTGGTTTCTCGAACTCACGTGACTAGAAATCAGCATGGCTCGCTGCTTGAGCTGCTAGGTGCCAGACGTCCGGGTGTTGCAACACCCTGTTCCGAAACTTTGCATGGGCGTATCGATCCAGGGTCGCCGCTGACGCCAGCTGGATCATGAGCGCTGCAATTCGAAATATACGCCAGGTCTCCTCCCAAGTGTCTGAAAGTTCGATGCTCCTGGCAATCCGCTCTCCATGAGGTCCTCAAAATGCCATGTCGACCAAGGTTGGCAATCCACTTTGCACTTTGTAGTGCAAGCAGGTGAGTTGGGCGTCGGTCACTTCCTCATTTCTCCCCTTCGACCAATGCAAAGTGTGCAGGCATCTGTTGCACTGTAGGTCCTGAAAGCAACTCAACTTCATAGTCCCGCCCTTGGTCAAAAATTTTGACTCATCTTCAACTTGAACCTCTGAAAGCTGAAGTCAATGCAGCTTCGAAAACCTCAACTGGACACCTGTAGCGAGCTTAGATTGGGGTCTCCCAATTGCCTCGTGAGAGACCGAACCAGCCCCATCTCTAAACCGCCCCATGTCGCCGCGTCCTGGTTACAAGTAGTGGTCCAAGCGTCGTCTTTTTGGAAGTGGCCAGCCCCGTAGAACCAGACACTGTAGTAGTGGTCCAGGTGTCCAGGCTAGTCCGGTCGGGAAGAAGCCCCCTCCATACCCCCCGACCATCTTGAAGGAGGTCTCAAGCTCAGCTTGAACCAAAATGGACGAACTCTACATATCTCACCCTAGCCACCCGGGACCCATCAAATTGTTTCCATCGTTTGTTGTCACTCCGGCCATTTACGGCCTCCATAACAATCATAACAACTCCTCTCCTTCTCTGCCAACAAACCCTTTGCGCAACAGTCACTGAATTCAAGTCCAGAAACGGCACCCCATATGCATCCGCAGCCATGCTCAAAGGAGAGTTTACCAGTCCCTCCTGACACAAGACGCACCGTTTCCATCCATTTCCTTGTTATTATTGCATTTCCTTATTCTTTCCAAGCTCCTTGAAGCGAATTGCGAGCTCTTTTCCCAGCTGCTCAGAGGCTGCATACCCACGAAGGGCAGCTGCAAAGGCATCCTGTAGTCGGGAGCAAATGCTGCTTTGAACAATTTGGAAGACAGCACGGCAAGTGGTTGCAAACAGTCCTCATCCATGGCACGTCGAAATTGCTGAAGCTCTTTCTTCGTGACACTGCAGAAAGCTGCATCAGCACCATTCAAGAATGGGGTGCTATCTTCAGCCTCTGCTTGCTCCAAGGAATCAAAACCTTCTGCCTCCACGAGGTGTGCAATTTGAAGGAACTCCTGAAGATGCTTCGCATCTACTGAACCGTGCTTAGCCACTTGCGCGAGCATCAGGGGAGGCCTCATGAGGACCAAACCTGGTGGAGCATCTATGGACCTGGTCGCCTGTGCCGCAACTGCTGCTTCCAATGCTACTGCGGCTCCAAGGGCTTCCCCACCGTAGAAAGATCGTGACACAGAATCAGCTGCTGCTTTTCGCATATCTTTGGCCAATTGCGACCACGTGTATTGGTGGACCATTGAGCTCGAATCATTGTCATGCGCAGACTTCGAGCGACCATGGCCACGCAAGTCCAGCCGTAAAATAGTGCGGCCCAGCTTAGCTGGATCCAATATACTGCCCATTCCACGTGCCTCATCGGAATCGCAACATCCACCGAGTCCATGTGCCCAAACCTGAGGGCACTCAACCTTCAAGCATCTATGTGAACATAAAATAGGATCAAAATAAGTATGTAGAATAGACAAAAAGTGGATTCTGGATCAGCTTGCAACCAAAGGTGGCCCGCCAAAAGCGGTGACTGCCTCTTGGATAAAGCTGAAGGGCCAAAGCTGGAGAGGAAGACAGGACGGAAATTCCACCCAAGTTTGCAGCACGCGTCTCTACCTTCGTCATTTCATGTCCAATTCCACAAATCTTGGAGCAACAAATTGAAACAAAGAACAACTAACACTACCACAGCAAACAAACAGCGTGCAACATGGAGCGAAGACAGAATCACAACAAACAAACAGCTGAAATACGACCTTGGCGGACGCGTCGGACGCGACCAACTTTGGCGACAAGGCTCCCATTGAGTCAGTCGAGGCGTCGCCCGCTTCATGGTGGAAATGTTTTTCTTGCAGAATCATTAATAACCCTTTGTTCCTAGTAGCATCCTTGCTCCTAGTAGCGATGCCAGGAGCCCCTAGTAGCGTTCTTGCTCCTAGTAGTACGGCCAAGAGCCCCCAGTAGCTTCCTTGCTTGTTTTTCAATATGATGAGTATAATGTGAACACAGTGTGCAGTGACCATGAACACTTGTCAAACAAACTCTACTTGGTTGCCGGATTCCTTCTAGGAGTGAAACGCTGGTCTCATTCCCAGTTTGTACCAATGAGGCTCCCCGACGGCATCCAATGAGATTTGAATGCTGACGTTTTGATTCTTCCCAGCTGTTGTGAAACACATTTCATAGCCACTCAATGTAACTATACTCGTGATCCAAACTTGCTGCTGGAGCTGCTACAGGTCTTGCCATGTTCTGTCTGCATGGGATACGCAGGTACAGTTGGTAACGGCTGTAAAGCTTGGCGGTGAGAGAGTGTTTCAATTTGCATTTTTGTCCGAGGAAGTCACACGTAAAAATATCCTTCAAGGTGCTGCCATTAAAGAAACCAAATGAAAATTTGTTTAGTATCATCTAAACATTTGTAAACACCATGTAAACACCACTTGGAAATTCTGGCGTCACCCCGTCAAGGTGGAATTTGAAGCACACAATCGCTGTGCCAATTCCGTCAGCTCGGTGAAACTCTTCGAGGCTTGATGCCGAGCCGACCTAAAGCCGACCGAATCCGCTAAGGTGCTTTGGGAATCCCCAAGGAATGCGCTCTGGGTGCCAAAGCAATGACACGTGCCAATGCATCGGCAGGTGCTGCACAAGTTGCGATTGCATGTGCAGGTGAGTTTGCCGGTGCCGAACTCAAACATTGCAAATCATCTACACACTTTACAAAGTGTTGAAAGTATGCGTCTGAACCTGAATCCTTCTATAAAACGTCATGGCAGTGGCCAAAGCCTCCAAGCACCGATTACGGGTGGACTGATCCCCACTCTGACCCACTGCTTTGGTGCCTTGGAAAAGAGCAGCAAATCAAACATGCCGCACGGATTTCAGAATGCAAGGAAACCTTTGAACACAACAGCGGCCCTTTCAATCTTCGGCACTGTTCCCATAAGCAACAAATGTCTGCGTGATGCTACAGTAGACCAAAGACAAAGAGCGTTTCTGCGCTGTTTTCTATTGTTTTTGACATATTCGACAGAGATGCACTGCATACTACTGCATATTTTATGACCTTATGTTTTTTTGCTATACTAGATGCTGTATAAATACAAAATGAAAAACAAGATGGAGCCCAAGAACCCGAATGCAAACGAGTACTCGAAAACAAACACCCAAACAATTTTTGACAATCTTGTACGAGACACTTTTGTGGGACACTCTTGTAGGACACTCTTGTCGGACATTCTTGTGGGACACTCTTGCGGGACACTCTTGTGGGACACTCTTGTTTGTCAATCTTGTGGGACACATTTGTATGACACTCAATCTTTCGGGGCACTCTTGCGGAACACTCTTGTAGGACACTCTTGCGAAACACTCTTGTAGGACACTCTTGTGGGACACTCTTGTGGGACACTCTTGTGTGTCGCTCTTGTGAGGCACTCTCGTAAGACACTCTTGTCGGACACGCTTGTGGGACACTCTTGTGGGGCACTCTTGTAGGACAGTCTTATCGGACACTCTTGTGGGGCGCACTCTCGTGGGACACTCTTCTAGGACCACCCTGTGGGACACTCTTGTATGTCACTCTTGTGGGACACTCTCGTGGAACACTCTTGTGGGACACTCTTGCGGAACTCTCTTGTAGGACGCTCTTGTGGGGCACTCTTGTAGGACACTCTTGTTGTGCACTCTTATGGGACACTCTTGTGGCGCACTCTTGTAGGACACTCTTGTGGGTCACTCTTGTAGAGCTGTGTAACTACTAAAGTCTTCAAAAGTCAACTGTCACGTCTCCAGAACGAGCGCTTCGTACGAGACCCCTCCAAAAGTCACACGTCAAGTCCACAAAACGAGAGCTTCGTACGAGAGTTCCTCCAAAAGTCACATGTCAAAGTCAAAGTCTTTCGTGTGAGACTTCCTCCGAAAGTCAAGCGGGAAGCTCCGTCGGAGCACACACATCAAGCAGCCCTGCCAAGCAGTTTCGCGATTCCAGCCCCTCCAAACAACACCTGCTCACATGCCAATCCCAATGTCACAGCGACATTCACCTCCGCCACGACTCGCAACCTCACGATTCCCTGCACTTGCCACAAAATTTTACACGTCCACACGTCTAACACGGCGATCACACAGGCAGACAAGGGGGAGACATGTCAGGAGACAAGTGGGGAGACAAGGAAGCAGCGGCACAGCAGCGGCAAACCAAAACGGAATACAGGATTCAGTCATTAAGAATAAGTAAGAACCCCTGTATCTATCGCCATCGGGAAAAAAGCTCTCCAGGGGTACCCGGATTGAACAATTACACCAGCTCAGACCACGGACAAAAAGGGTTCAGGTTGTCCAATAAAATGTTTCGATGGTTAAGTTTTTACATGTTTTTACCTGGAAAGGTCTTGTCAATGTCGTGGTTCAAGAAACGCAAGACACAAGTAGAAAGATGCCTGGAGCAGCACCTGTGCCAACACCTTGTGACCAAAGTCAGCACCTGCACGGTCACCATGTCTCCAAAGCGCGCATAGCCAGCTCATTCTGAATGAAGAAGCCCGGTATCGCACTCGGTATAGAGTTGGCTAAGCCCGTTACAATGATGATTTGTGTGTTCGACCTGTTCGACCCTGGTAGGCGAGAAGGAGGATCGAAGCGACGGCACTGCTTCTCAATGGAAAAGGGGAATGCCTATAGATGAGAGTTTAGGGTGTAGATGGGAGAGAATCACTCGGGTGGGCAAAGAAAGATAGCATTGGTTCTTGCTGCTCTGGCCTCGAAGTGCTGTTTTCTACGTTTTCCTTCTTCTTGACTCATGCTTGCTTCGAAGAAATGTTTTTCCAAGGGATGCATCTGGCCGTAAGATATTTCATGTTGATTGCGTCAACTTTGCACGAATACTGTTTCGGTCTGTCTAGGACAGAAGACCAAACACTCAGTTCGAGAAAGCGGAGTAGCTTTTGTTGGTGTGTGTGTGTGTGTGAGTGGTGGGGTTTTACGTGAAAGAGCTAACAGCACGAATTACATTCCAAATACGGAACCCAACTAATTAAAATGCCAAATAATTTTGGAATCCACGCAAAACACATCGGTCTATGGCCAACAAAAAGAATAAGCTCCGGAGCATGCACCTAGCCTTGCAAACACCAGAGCAAAGCGAAAATCCTCCCTACTTAGACTGCGACGCCAAAGATTGGACCTGACGTTGTGCAAAGGCCACGCAGCAATGCAGGTTCCAACCCATTGCTTTCCACTTTGCTGAGCCTTGCTTTTGTTTTGTCGTCGCGTGGCCTAAAATGGATATCGATGATCCGATGATCCCCTCGTTTTTTGACCCGTTAAATGCAAATGTGTAAGCTCGAATATATAGAAGTCATAAGTGATGGAACCAGCCTCAAGGATTCAGTTTGATTCGAGTTTGCCACAAACTTGCCTCAGCTGAACTCCTCAAGCTCAAGGTCTCGGCTAGCCCACGGTAGCCTGCCCGTGCCCAGTGCAGATGCAACATCTGCCCGTTCTTGTGGCGTTCACACACAAGACAAATGTGTGGCTTGGAGATAGAAGAACGTGTCTCAAGATTTGGACATAGAATCAAGAACAGCTCAAAAAAACACTGAGCAAATACTAAAGATCTTCTCAAGACTCTAGACTAGAGTGACTAGAGCCAAGCAAGGTGTCAGAAGTCAGGCACTTGCAAGTCGTGTGGTGGCTGAGCTTCGAGCTCAGTCTCATGCTCGTTTGCTACCAGAACTCAGGGCAGTGAGAGCTGTTCAAACAGTACGACTGCATTGGGCCTTGTGTTGAGTACACATCGATGACTTCACTTGGCCAAAGCTGGGTCGCCAACAATAGTCTCCATTCAGCGTCTCTACCTTGTTCAACACGAATTAACGTGGTGCACTCATTGGAAGATTGAAAACAACCAAGAAGGTGACATTCTCGCTGCGAGGGAGGAAGCCAGCGACTCTTGAAAACCTGCGGCCATCACGCTTGCGCAAATCTTGCGGCAAATCGCGCGCAATCTCAAGAAATCATTGACTCAACATGCTAGGCAAGTGCAACATGCTCCAAAAGACTAGGACTGGGATCCACACGTGCGAGAAGACGATCCACCGTCTGTGATCATTGGACCCTGCAAGGGATCCACTCTTAAATCACATTTCTAGTGCAGATTCTTTCTAGGGGAGAACGCAATGCAAAAAATCACACGTGCTTACATGTCGCAACAGGGGTACAACTGTCCTGACGAGGAATTGACCAGCCCCGCATCACGCCAAAGACAGCCATGAGGCAAGCGCCTGATGACGTCAAACTGGCTTTTGAAAGAGTGCATGTTTTTTGGGAAAAAGAACATGCAAATAACACCAGGAAGGCCAAAGGATGACAAGGGAAGACAGGCCATCCAGGCGGAGACAAAACCCAAAGACTGGAACCCAAGGATGCGAGGCATTCACTGGCAGTTCACAGCTGTGCAGAATTGATTCAAAACCTGTCAATTTTGCTTGAGGTGGCAACAAAGAACACAATACCAATAACCAAACGCCCTGATTGGTGTCAGTGTCAGTATCAGGGTATGAAAATGATGCCTCCTGCAGCAAAGGCCATTGCCAGCTCGCGGAAATGCTGCGCATCCAGTTCCTGCAAGAACTGGATACTAACAAAGAAGACAAAGGCAGACTGGACAGACACAGCGCAACTTTTTTGAAGTCTGTTGACTAAGCTGGACCAAGCTCTGCGTCTATGGCACATGTCGCTTTCTTTCGCGCAACCACCAACGTGATCGAGGGAGAAGGCAAACGCTCTTTCCAGTTGCAGTGCGGCAAACAAGGCAGCTGTTATTTGAGC